ATGTGCTTAAATTCCCGCCAGCGACGGGTCATGTGCAAAATGTCCAAACTACAAGGGGGTTAAGTGCTATTTACCCTATATTTTATTTTACCTCTTTTTATTCAAGAATACAAATCATATATACTTCTTGGGATTTTTATGCAAAAGTCCCCAACCAAGCATGTTTATTATTCTAGGTTTAGGGGACATATCTCTTTCACCAATAAACCCATCCCTTTAATATTTATTATAACTAAAGGAAACATTCATGTATATCCCAATATTACCCTCAACCATTTATACCCAATTCTTAATTGTAATCCAAATTAATTAATTTTGTCCATAAAAGTTCAATTTTGACCACAAAAATTCAATTTTGACTTTTTTTTGGAGTATAATTTAATATGCTCCAATTTCATCATTAACTTAATTTAATCTCAATTTGACCCCAAATTTCACAAATTATTAAATTTTGACCCAAAACTTTTTTTTTTTTCAAAAAAATTTTTTTTTTCAAAAACTTTTTTTTGCCGCCTGATTCCGGCGTTGACTTTTTTAAATTTTTTTTTTTTTTTTTCTTTCTTCCGGATTTTTTCGCCGGTTTCCAGCGTTGACCGGCGGTCAACGCCGGTCTCCGGCGTTGACTTTTTTTTTTTTCTTTTCTTTTCTTCCGGATTTTTTCGCCGGTTTCCGGCGGTCTCTTTTTTTAGTGTTTTTTTAAGTTTTTTTTTTTGTTTGGTTTGTTTTGTTTTTCCACGTCCGCCGCTAAACGTTGACCGTAATTGTGCTGTCACTGACAGTAAATTAACGTAATTATACTGTCAATGATAGTTAATTAACGTAATTGTACTGCCGTTGACATTACATTTATGTAATTGTGTTGCCGTTGACAGTAAATTAATGCAATATTATATTTTTTTTATTTATTATTATTTTTTTTATTTTTTTTTGACACGTCAACGTAATTATATTATTGTCGTTGACAGTAAAATAACTGTAAACACAATAATATTACTGTCAACAACATCAATATTATTATTTTTTTGTGGTGTTTGTTTTGTTTGAGTTATTCACGGAGTAACGTATTAATATTACTGTCTATTATTGTAATATTACTGTAAACACAATAATATTACTGTGGTTGACGGTAATATTACTGTTTGTTATAGTAATATTTCTGTCAACCACATCAATATTATTAT